GGCAAGGGGGCGGGGGGTGGAGCTGGAGACTGTGGTAAGGCTGAAAGAGCTGCTGAATGAGGCAAGGGAGCTTGAGACAGATGCCCCTTCAAGTGAAGCTCAAATTGGTCCTTCCGTATAACGGTGGTGATGCAGTACGGGCAATGAAAATGTGCAAACTTTCTGCACGGCTTACTGCATTTACAGATGGCAAATCCTGCAAAGAAAAAACCTAATGTTATACATACATCTGAAAGGCCAGCTATTTCAACATGTAGGAGATATTTCACCATAGTTGCCACAAACATACAAAATTCCATCCCTACAAACTATACCTTTGTGCTTCACTGCTAGCTTCAAGTGATTTTTCAAATGGATATCCATCTTGTATGTATGTTTGCACGTGAACATACAGCATGGGCATTCATATAGTCCATCCCTCTGAAAAGACTGAAGGTCCAGGGCACCTTCCAAATGGGTAGGGTGCTGAGAAAAAAACAGAAATTTATTTGTTGTTTCATTTTACCTTTAACAACAATATAACTTTGCAAACTATCTTTTCTGTTGCACTTTTTACATACCTGCAACTACAATGTAGTACTTTCACTCTTTACAAAGCTCTTTAATTTTTGGTTAAACAATCTGATTTACCATTTTTCCCTTTTAACCTTAATTAAATCCGTCCCGTGAACACATTTGAATTAAATAATCAACCTAAATTTGCCTGTCATTATTCTGCCTCCATGGTGTCAGGCATCTTAAGCCCATTCATATTTAGCATAATGATATACACAACTACAAAAAAAAAATATATAAATATATATACACTTTATAAACTACATAAAATTGTCATATTTTTACAAATAATTTATCGGAATGACTAGTCGCCACGCTGCGCAGGGCAGTGCTGACCCCAATGTAAAAAGTTCAATCGTTACCTCCATAGTCTAGATTATCCTCTATTTCCTAATGACATTGTCATTCGCTACACACCCTTAATACAACTAAATATAATTCTTTTGCAAGAAATTCCAATCTTAGACTACGGCAATCCAAGCTAGCTGCTAACATGTAACTACACGGCCAGTTATTTTTAAGAATACGAAGTTATTCATGATAATGTTATTTATCCGTGACAAATTACATAAAAGATAACACTTACAGCCATTGAAAACGTATTTTACGATGTAAGGAGAAAGAATTGAGTCGGATGTAGTCTTGAGGTATTTTTACGATGTAATAATTTAGGCGCGAATTCTCTTCTCTCTACGTGTGCTCTCAGTCAGAATATATTAATATATATCTGACAGAATATTGTTCATATTCCGAACAATATGTATGTTCCTTATGTGGGAGGGGCTTGATGTGGGCGGGGCTTGATGATCAAGCCCCGCCTTCCCGCAGGATGCAGCGGGATGCTTCTCAGTCTGTGCACAACAGCTTCCGGTTGTAGTGTCCCAGAGGGAGGGGTCTGTCTGGCTGTCTTCAACTACGTCCTCATCTAGTCTTTAAGTACGAGCGTTGACAGCCCAGCATTCATCAGTCTGTACTGAACCAATACCTAAAGCATCAACATGAGTGGACGTGGTAAGGGAGGAAAGGGGCTCGGAAAAGGAGGCGCCAAGCGCCACAGGAAAGTTCTCCGTGATAACATCCAGGGCATCACCAAGCCCGCCATCCGCCGCCTGGCTCGCCGTGGCGGAGTCAAGCGTATCTCCGGCCTCATCTACGAGGAGACCCGCGGGGTGCTCAAGGTCTTCCTGGAGAACGTCATCCGTGACGCCGTCACCTACACCGAGCACGCCAAGAGGAAGACGGTGACCGCCATGGACGTGGTTTACGCGCTCAAGAGACAGGGCCGCACCCTGTACGGCTTCGGCGGTTAACTCTAACCAACAGACCACCTTCAAACCAACGGCTCTTTTAAGAGCCACCCACACTTCTAAAGGCATGTTTCCTGAATTGATCATTATATTTTATCAAACCGGTATGATGCACTGTTATACAGTTATTTCAATTGCATTCATATTCGGGGTGAATTCCTTTCAACCTCTAACCAGATGACTCAAAATTTATTTGGAAAAACGCATGTGGCGTTTAATGGTAAAGCATTAGTTGTGCAACATTGCACATTTCCTCATTTGGTGTTATTAAATGAATTAGTAACGCCATCAAAGTGCACACCACTAAACTGAATGCCTGGATTTGCATTTTGCTCAAATGAATTACTTTTTTAAAAATACTTTAGTCTATGTATAGAGTATTGGAAAGCCTCACAAAAAAAAAAAGTTGAGCAGCTGTTTACTTTTTGCCTTCTATTAAACGGGTATCATTCCAGGTCACGGGTTTCACTACATATTTTTTTCATCTGTGCATATTAGAGCCACCCACACACAAAAGCACATTTCCTGAATTGATGATTACTGAAGTCAGTAAGGAGACAAAAAATGTGTCTGTATTGTCCCAGTTGCTCAGTGACCTGTGCTGATT